AAATGTGAAGTCAGTGTGTCATAAGGCATTGCTTTGCAAATGTGAAGTAAAAAAAATATGATAAATTTGTTTTGCGTGATTTTTTATTATTATTTTTTTTATAGTAAGGCGTTTGTTTGTTAAAACAGTTCTGTGATTCTTTATATATACGCTTACACGGCAATTTACCCATCAATACTTGGTAAAATTGGAATAGAGAGCCCGCTAAATTTGGGAACAACATTTGTGAAAATGATTTCATGTATATACCCCTTTATATCTGAAAAAAGAAAATTATCAAAGATCTGTCCGGCGCTTGTACCTAAAGACAAAAAAAATTAGTGCATTTTCATAACCCCATATTCCATATCCCATAACATTTTCAAGCAATGAATAATAATAATATTTTTTTTCGTAAGTAAAGCCTTTCACAAGAGAAAAGTTTTATTAATAAAAAATTATTGAATATTGCTTAGATAGCTTTGCTATCATATAAGTACGGTATATGAATAAGCTACATTATAAAGCCACTCCCATTCATTTTCACTTATGTCATTTGTGTCAAAAAAAAGATACCCGTAGGCTGAAGGAAGAACTAGAATATCTATCTGCCTGTGAGACGCCGTTCACTTCAGTAAACTGCTTATTGAGTATAGTGTATCTACCAAAGGCAAAGGACTATAAATATATATATTTTTCTTGATTCGAATATATAAGAAGGCGGGACTTCTTCGCTTGTGGCGCAGTTCAGAGTAAGAAATTTCGATGAAGTTCGTATAATACAGATCAAAAGGAGGTCGCTGTCAACTGGAATAAATCATCGGGCATTCGTAATTTTATGATATAGCGCTTATCTAATAAAATATACTACTTATTTGTTGGGCCCCTTCTTTTCAATTTTATTTGGAATAATCGTAGGAAACGGTGTTCGAGATGCGGATATACTCGCCTTGGTAGGTATGGCACCTGGTAATTTCAGGACAGAAGATCAGAGGCTTGATCTTTGGTAGGCGACGCATTTGAGGCGGAAGATTCAGTTTTCATGTGTGTACATGAAAAATTTTTTTTCACTCGGCGTAGTAAAATGTTTTTAATAGTATTATCGATTTACATATCAGTTAACTTTGAGAGTTTATTGGCGATATAAGAGTTGATTCGCATAATCTTATCTTCTCAAATTTCGCTAAATAACATATATAGGCTTAGTTAGCTGGATTTTTTTGCAATTAAATGAAAGTATATTATTTATTATGTTAATGCAAAGGAATTTACTACATGATTATATTAGAAATATATATTCATTAATTAAATAAAAAGAAAATACAAATAGTACAAATATAAATTTATTCTAAATT